CACTTATATATACTCCATTCCCGTACACGGTTGGAGCTTTTAAATTGGCACTATTTGTCTATAACCGTTTCGCTCTCCCAATACAACTATTATATTTGGTGCCGATTGTGTGGATTGAATAAAATATCACACCTTAAATTAACCAAACATATTAGTTGAAGTTAATGTTTTTATATTGTAAAATTCTAAATTACAAACTTATCTTAATCATAATCATGGCTCAACGTAATCCTCCCCAGATAGTAAACCCGGTTCGACCCAACCCGGGTAATCCAGGACAACCGCCTAACCCTGCACAGCAACCAGCGCAGCAGCCAAACCCTGCTCAGCAGGTTAATCTGCCGCAGCCACCTCAACAGCCCCAACCGAATCCAGGTCAGCCGCCAAATGCTATAGATAATTTAGCAGCCCAGATTGGGTTGCTAATTCAGCAAATGCAGGCCGCTCCTGCTCCTCAAGTCAATTATAATATTCCCAATCGGGAATTAAACTTAGTACGATATCCGGATTTTAGTGGAGGTGACCAAGATCCTGTTTCATGGTTGGATGAAGTTGAGAAGGCGTTTGCTGCCAACTTGGTTAACGACAACCGTCGGTTAGCAGTTATCGTTCCCCATCTCAAGGGCCCTGCGGCTACGTGGTGGACCACAATGCAACAACCACCAAACCCCATCAATGTCTGGAATGACCAGGCTCAACCGAATATAAGTTTTCGCCCCCATTTTATTTTACAATTTCGTACGCCGGCCTTAAAAGGCAAGTGGTTTGCTGAATTAGCTTCCCGCAAACAGCAAGTCGGCGAGGATGTCGATACCTTTTATACAGCAATCCAAGAGTTGTATCGTCGAATAGAAACAGGAGCGCAGCCTTACCCGGAAACGGCTAAAGCACAACTTTTTCTAAATGGGCTACGCCCCGATATAGTGTTAGCCGTCGCCCCGTTCACTCCCAACACGCTCCAAGCTGCGTATGATCGCGCTAAAGCGTATGAGGGAGTGTGTAAGCAGAACCTCCCTTACTTACCCGCCCCAATCAGTGCGTTATATTCATCACAGTCGTCCCCAAATATATCCGCTGGATTTGTACCCTCTCCAACAACTTCTGAGTCGGCTATCGATAAGCTAACCGAGGCCGTCAACAAAATGTTGACCCAACTACAAGACCGACGACCTACCTCCGGAAGTTTTAATCGAGTAGTTTGTTACAAATGTGGAAAGACTGGTCATATCAGTCGTAATTGTCGTTCTCCTTCCGTACCAAACGCTCCACCAAATACGCCCCCAAATTATGCGCCATTAAATTCAACGTATAACCCTGGACAAACTCCTAACCCTATTGTATATCCTTACCCTAATCTAAATCCCCAACATGTCCCTATATCTACCAGTTCTAACCATATTCCCAATCCTATTCCTAATAATAACATTACTAATAATGTTAATCCTAACATGGGTAATGCTCCGGAATTACAGCCCCAGGAAGCTTTGCAAGCTTTATTAGCTATGGCAGCTAGTTTAAATCCTTCATCGACCCAAAATAATTCGGATAATCAAAACCCATCAAATAATCAAACTACTTTTCTTAATCTATTCGAAGAAGACTTACCTTTTTTCACCGTGAAGTCAAATACGTCTCGGCCTTCAAAACGTCTTCGAGAAGAAGATGGTGACCTAGAGTCGGGTGTAGAAGAACCCTTAGAATCTTTATTAGAAAAAGAAAAAGACCAAGTTAAGGATAATAAAGAAAGAGACAAACATAATAAAGAAAAGGATACCATCAACCCTTCTAAGGTCCCTATCGTCAAGCCTAAACGTGTCCCGATAATTAGAAGAAAGGTACCTGAGGATGAAATGCCTCAAATATCGTCCCTGGTTCCCCCCTACTCCATTATCACTGATCTACGTGATAAACCTGCAAATATTACTATTGGCCAATTACTTCGAATAGTTCCGGGTATGCGTACTGAACTTACTCGAAGCCTCCATAAAAAGAAGGTAACACCTAAAAGGAAGCAGAAAGTTAATATTAGCATAACATCAAATAAAAAATCGACCGCCCTATATTGTGATGCTACTATTTTGGGAGTAGAAGTCTCTCTTATAGTTGATAGTGGGTCTTCTGGTAGTGTTGTTACCTCTCATTTACTTCATGATCTCAGAATTAAAGTTGAACGCCCTTCTACCATAAATATGGTAAACGTGCATAGTGAGAGTAAGCGTGCCCTAGGAGAAATATCTGACTTTCCCTTTGCTGTTGCCGGTATAGAAATCCCCATTGATATTGTTGTAACCAATGCTAATTCATATCATGCCATCGTCAGAAATGATTGGCTTTCTAAAGTTCAAGCTAAGATTGACTGGACTACCTCAGAAATGACATTCACCTGGGAAGATAAAGAAATCATAGTACCCGTTGAGTTTAAAAGGATGCCCTCTGCACCTTTGAATAAAGATCGTTCTACGAAAGTTAAAGAGTTAAAAGAAGGTGAAGAGTCTGGAGATGAGTTAAGTAGCGATGATGAGTATGAGGATGAAGAGTTAGAGGAAAGAGTTTATAATTACTCCGGTGTAGAAAATGAAGAGTACCTCTCTGATTTATCCGAATCAACTGAATCTCCAAATACTTCTGACCCAATTCTTACTAAAAAACAAAAGTATGAAATTAGATTACCAAAAGATTGGTCTCTTAAGTCTCTAATTGGGACAAGTAGTAATTCCCCTCTTCCATTACCCATTGCCGCTAAATTAGTAAAACCTTTGAGTACCGTTGGGTCGCGTCCTATTTCCCCGGTTGATATTCCCCTTGTTCATTCTTCTGCACCGAAAGTTGATCGGGATATTAATAACTGTCATAGTATGCACTCTATAAAAATAGTCCCTGTAGAAATTAATAATAATGCCCCACCCAAAACTTCAATAGTATCCGAACCTTTTAAGGAATTGGAACCTTATGCATCTCGACTTAAGACCCAGCTAGGCTACTCTTTTAAAACTTTAAATAATTTAAGCTTCGCTTCCAGCAGTTCGTCTACCCCCTCACTAATAGTAATACCAGAAAATGTTATTGTAGATATCCTACAACCTTTGTCTTTAAATTATATCCGTAAAGAAATATCTTTACCTTCTCCTAATTTTAATAACCTTCCTTCATTGGTCTATTATAAGGTACCTACTTCTGATAGCGAGGTATCGTTTCCCCTAAATAGACATTTAAATAGTGATTGTTCAAATACCCTTTATACAGTCCAACAAAATTCTTTAGGTACTGATAGCCTTACCCGTAACAATAAAATAGTATCTCCATTTATTAAGGCCCCAGACGGCAATCCACCCATGATCATTCTTGAAAATGATTCAGATGAATCAAGTAATTCAGATTTTGAGTGGTATGCATCTGCTTGGAAATATAGGGTTCCCGAATACCAATTTAATGAGAATGACTCTGATGCTGATGAAATAATTGACGAGATTCAAAGACAAATTAAATTAAGAAAGGCAAAACTTAAGTCTCCTTCGGCTAAATGTTTCTACGATCTTGCTGGAAATGCCTATCTCCAAGAAAAAGATATAAAGCCCGATCTTCGTGGGTACATTTCTATTAGGCCTACCAAAGAAGAATATAATCCTATTAGGGATATATTTGATTATTACTTTGGGGAGGGTATTAGTAGTAGGAAAAATGATTTTAATATAGGTAATCTAGAAGAAGAACAATATAGGTTGCTCCAAAGTTTTTTAGAACAAAATTCAACTTTGTTTACATGGGAAGGTCATAGATTAGGGCGTACCAACTTAGTTAAACACTCTATTAATGCTGGAAACGCTTTACCGATAAAACATCATCCTTATCGACATTCACCCGCTGAAAAGAAAATAATTAGGACTGAAATTGATCGCATGATTAAAGAAGGTTTTATTCAACCTTGTAAAAGTCCGTGGACATCTCCGGTGGTATTGGTACCTAAACCCGATGGTCAAACTCGGTTTTGCATAGATTACCGAAAGTTAAATTCAGTAACTCAGAAAGATAATTATCCCCTACCTCGTATACAAGATCTTCTTGACGCCTTAAATAAGTCATCCTGGTATAGTTCACTTGACCTCGCCAGTGGGTACTGGCAGGTTGAAGTAGAAGAATCGGATAAACTTAAAACTGCTTTTACTACCCGTTTGGTGTTTATATGTTCCATGTTATGCCTTTTGGGCTAACTAATGCTCCTGCCACCTTCCAACGCCTCATGGATTACCTTTTTCAAGACTTAATAGGAGAATGCGTCGTTGTCTATTTAGACGATATTAATGTTTATTCTAAGACTTTTGACGATCATTTAAAACATTTAAAGTTAGTTTTCGAACGATTAAAAATGGCAGGTCTCACCCTAAAGTCTACTAAGTGTTTCTTTGCCCGTCGGGAGTTAAAATTTTTGGGTCACATTGTAAGAGAAGAAGGTATAGCTGCTGACCCTCAAAAAGTAGAAGCTGTAAAAAATTTTCCCGTCCCTAGAAATTTGAGGCAATTAAGAGGCTTTTTAGGGTTAGCCTCTTATTATAGGAAATTTATTCAAAATTTCACCCAAATTGCCGCACCTCTTAACCAATTGTTAAAGAAAAACATTCCCTATAAGTGGGAAGTAACACAACAACAGGCTTTTGAAGCCTTAAAAGAAAAATTAATTACCGCCCCCGTTTTGGCCTACCCTAACTTTGATAAGACTTTTATTCTTTTCACTGATACCTCTGACGTTGCCTTAGGTGCTATTTTATCTCAGAAAAATGAGAAAGGTTATGAGCAGGTTATCTCATATGCAAGCCGAAGTTTAACACGAGCTGAAAAAAATTATTCCGTAACCGAGAAAGAGTGTTTGGCCATAGTTTGGGCCGTCAGTTACTTTCGCCCATACTTACATGTGAGCAAATTCATTTTGTATACCGATCATTCCGCCCTTAAATATTTGTTTGAGGTTAAATTACCTCAAGACCGTTTGGCTAGATGGATAATGACCCTTACAGAATATTCATTCACAACCGTACATCGACCTGGAAAATTCCACCTTAATGCTGATAGCCTATCTCGAATTCAATAGATCACCACCTATAAAACATCCCTGTTTAAATTAAAATTTTAAAGAACAAATTTTTAGAACCCGATAAGAATAAAAATTATTTTTATTCTATATACTCCCTTTTAAATCCGATAATCCAGTCCAGGTTACGGTGTCCTGGCATTCTCGATCAATTTTATTTTCTTAGAGTTAAAATTTCGTTCCCTATTAAAAATTTTATTTTTTTATATATATCTAAATCTTAATCAAAAAGTAAAAACATTTTTCGAATTAGACCACATTAGTGAATATGGATCCTGAATTATATTTTCTTTATCTTCGGTATCTTGTAGATACCGTAGTACCCTCCCATTTTACTTCCAAAGAGATTCAAAATTTAAAATATAAGTCACGTCATTATGTGGTCTTGGATGGGTTGTTATATAAACATAACCCTTGCCAACCGTTACATCCTCAGAGAGTTCTAAAGAAAGGTGAAATTCAAGCCATACTTTTTAGTATGCACGATGATCCGCTTGCTGGACATTTTGGGTTCTATGCAACGTACCAACGAATAGCCGCCCGTTACTATTGGCCGCAAATGGGGAATGATATTAAAAATTATATAAAATCTTGTGATGTATGTCAAAAGAAAAAGAAACCCAATACCCGAGAACCCTTATACCCCATTAAGGTTGGAAAACCTTTTGACCGTATTGGAATCGATATTGTAGGTCCACTACCCGTAACTTCTACCAATAAAAGGTACATTGTAGTTGCCACTGAGTACCTTACTAAGTGGCCCGAAGCTCAAGCACTTGAGAAAGCCGATGCTGAAAGTGTTGCCACATTTATTTTTGAAGATTTAATTTGTCGTCACGGCAGCCCAAAAGAAATGTTGTCTGATCAGGGTACGCATTTCTGTAATAGGCTTGTTTCCGCCCTTTGTAAAAAATTGAGTACCACTCATCACACTTCAACGGCGTATCACCCCCAAACTAATGGTTTGGTTGAGCGTTTTAATAAGACTTTATGTAGTGTCCTAAGTAAATGTGTAAATCAATTTAACAAGGAATGGGATGAGTATATTCCCTCCGCCCTTTTTGCTTACCGTACCACATCACATCGTACTACCAGTTGTCAGCCCTTTTTCTTATTATATGGTCGATCACCTGTACTCCCGGTTGAGACCCATCTAACAACCCACCAAACCCGACCTGGAACTGAGGAAGAGTTGCAAAGCCTAATATTACGACGAGTAGAAAAACTAATGGGTGAATTGGTAGAAGCCCGTCGTATAGCGACTGAAAAAATTAAAAAGTCACAGATTAAGCAAAAACAATACTATGAACAAAGAAATAAAATAGAGTCATATGAAATTGGCGATCAGGTCCTTTTATATAGATCTGACTTAGCCACGTCATACAGCTCCAAACTAGAACCTCTAAATTTAGGTCCCTATTATATCCATGACGTACTACTCTATGGGTTGTACAAATTACGAACCTTAAACGGACACGTGCTCAAAATCAAGTTTCATGGAAACCGGTTGTCTCGATATTATCCCCGACGCGAATTTTGTGGGACCCCTTGGACTATGTCAGTCGCGAACAATAAAAAGCCCACTTACAAATTTTTGTTCCTCCTTATCTTTTCTTTTCTTTTTTTCTTGCATTCCTTCCCTTTTATTTATATTTTATATTTATTTTTATCTTTCGTTTTTCTTTCATTTATTTATTTATTTTTATTTTTGTATATATTTTTTTTTTTGTAATGTCTACGGAAATCCCTCCTGCTATTAAAAAGACCCTTATAATCCTAAAAGCCCAAATGCAAAAGTCTAATCTTGAAGGCACTTACTTTGTTTCCGCCGATAATATTATTTATTTGGTGGATCAACAATCCCAAATTATTAATTTAGATCCTCCTAAACGTAAGACTGATGCGCAATTGTTACATACCAAGTTACCCATTTTTCTAGAAGACCTTCGACGGGGCCAAGTATCTAGTTATACAATTGAAGCACCTTTAGGTGCTAAATAGGAACACAAAGTAGCTTATGTGTGTTCTCAACTCTCGTCCGGTAATTTTTACCATTCTGGTCAGTTACCTCGTTATTATACCCTCGGATCCTTGTTAGAGGAGAAGGCGTGGAAGGATGAGGCTAAAGCTTTAATCAAACAACTACTACCTCAAAAATACGGTGATGTCTTAATTGTTGCACGTAGGGCTTATCTTTTATACCGGGCTCGTGGTCCTTCATATCTTTTGTCCTCTCAAACCATTACTCCGTACGTTCTTAGGCATTTATGGAAAGAAGACTTTGCCGTCTTGCAAAGTGAGGCCCAATCTCTAGCCCAACAAGAATTTAATGAGGTTTTAGGATTGACTCCTTTCGCAGGAGCTCAAGGCTAAGGGGAGGCAGATGTAACGAATCAATTTTAGCTCTTACATTTTTTTTATATTGGTTATTCTATTTTTTTTTTTTTTTTTTTTATTATTGTTATTTTTTTTCTCATTTTTGAATATAGTTTTATTTATCCCACCAATTCCATTTTGATAATAATACCCGCGTATGTTAGTCACGATGTAAATATTCAATTAGTTATACTAATCGGGTAATTGATAGAGGCTTAGTGGCTTATCTCATGTAAACGCGTGAACGCTCCAAATAGCGCGTATACGCGCTTACACAAATACGTAGATCCTGCGCCAAGGGCGTAGTCGCTCAAATTAGAGCGTATTCGTGTGAAAAGGAATGTGTACGTTCAAAATGACATGAATTCGTTTTTAATAGAGCGTAAACGCTCTGAAAAATTAAAATGTATATAAGTCCTTTGAAAATTAATAAAGCGAAGAGAGACTTCCACGTCTTTAACCTTCATAAGTAATAAAAGAATAAAACATTGAATACTTATCTTTTGTGAATTCGACTGGTAACTTTAATAAAACCCTGTGAGACTCAATTCGACGGACTGAATTGACTTTAAATTCACATAGTCTTATTAAGACTCGAATTCGTCGCTTAACAGACCCCTGCCGAATTTCTTGTAGATTGTCACGTGATCCCGTCCGGAAGTTCTTTCGTCCCAGAAAAGATTAATTAGAAACCCGTAAAGTAACAGCCCCCACCTCCTTTGGCATCACCAGCATCAGCCGATTTTGAAGTATCGGACTTACGACCGCGATTGCTTAATAATTAAGCCTTATTATCAATCAAACCATCGATCATTAACTTTCCTTGCGCATCACCTTAACCATCAAAGTTCCTTGATTATCATTATCCGAATCATAATATATTCTTAATTGTTCTTAAGACTGATTTCTTTTAAATCTTGTAAATCGGTTCAAACACTTATATATACTCCATTCCCGTACACGGTTGGAGCTTTTAAATTGGCACTATTTGTCTATAACCGTTTCGCTCTCTCAATACAACTGTTACAATAGGCATTTTGGTGATATATACCCGCAAAATCTCATAATTGATTGGACAACGCATTAAATGCAATAAAACATGGAATTCTGCACTTAAACTTCACAATATTGCATCACATAGTACTATATTTATATATTGTATGAAATTTGTTTAGACATAACGAACGTTCAACTTGTAATTTTCATTGCTTTAACAGATTTTGGCTCAATTAAAGTGAATGACGATCATTTATAAAAGTGTGCTTATTTTTTTTTATTATTGTCCTTCGTAATTGAACCAACTAAACATGAATTTGTTGTCAACTGTCTTCAGATAGTCTTCAGAGCTATTATGGCTTATCCGAAGCCTGCAATTGAATTGGTTAATTCATAGCTCCAGTTTAAGTCATAGTTATTAAAGCCACAACTTGTGTCATGGCTAGACAATGACTTGAACAATGGCTCAAGCTGTGGTAGGTAATACTTTATTACTACTGTACTGATACAGTACTGCAGTACAGTGTATAAAATCTATGTGCACATGTTTTTAAAAGTTTTCACATGTTTTTAGCTAGAAATGTGCACGAAATTCACAAGATTTCTAGTCATATAGTGCACCAAATTTATTAATAAAATCTTGAATATGTGCACATAGAGAACATTGTGTATACAGTCAATTTTTTATATACAGTATGTAAATTAAATAGATATTTATATAAAATGTTTTTATAGTATTATAAAAATTCATAGAGCACTAATTTTTAAAATTATTAACATAAATTAAGTATACAATGTGCACAATATTCACATGATTTTGCGGTGTGATTTTATACACTGCTGCAGTAGTATTGCATTAAAATATTATTACGTAGCTACAGTAATAATTATTTTAAAGCAATGTATTAATTAATTACTCGTTTAATTTTTATTCGTATTGATTTGAAATTCTCTCAAGCACATAATTAATAAGTCGAAGCTCAATTTCTAAATTGTGGAAAGTTTAACCGGTAAGTAGGTTCGTTATCTAGATGGAAAAAAAAAATTCAAACCACCTTAGACTTGTTCTGATTTGCTAAAATTTTATATCCGCATTTTGCGATATGAATCTTTAGCAAATTACAGTAAGGACCGTCGTACTTTATATATGATCTCAGTAGCTAGTTAATCATATTGAGAGCACTCTTAGTCTCTAAATTGTGATTATTTATTGGTTTAATTGATCTAAGTATTTAATATGAGCTGTTTACCTCTCATTTGGCTTCTTATTCACATTAGTCTGTATAATTATCATTTTCCAACATTTCTAATTATGCAGATTAATATGATCTAGATAGTGCTTGTAGTCGACCCTTATTTATCGACTTGACTAAGCCGATATTTAAAAATTGGCTTAGCTGACTATACCTAAGTCGATTATTCCGATTGGTTAATTAAAACATGTGACAAATAATAGATATGATTGGTTAAAAAATTATAGCATCTTGACATTGCACTTTTTTTATAATTTGCAAAAGTTTTGACTTACATTTAAATTCTCACTTT